CAAGTTCTCTATATCTGCTTTGTAAGACACTGGAGGCTGCTAGAGATATTGTGGTTATAAAGGTGCCACTTGTTAAAAAAAAAAAAAAGTCTGCAACCCATTGACTTAGAAAATCACTGAAGATCCTTCCTAAGAGTCTATGATTACAGCTCGACTCCATTCCAATTCCACCCTCTGTTATTTTCCCAGATGACCTGCCCTTGGATTCACTATCAATAAATAGTTCTATCAGTGTCTCAGGGAAGGAGCGTCCTGGCTCACACCCGAGGCCCCAGTGTCACTGTTACTGTCATGACTGTCCTCCGCAGGTGGCAAGGGGCAGGACGGGCAGACTGGAATTGGGTGGATTTCGGGAATGCACAGCTTGCTTTTCAAAGACCTGGGCAGCTGTATTGTACAGAGAACTCTGCTTGGAGATTGAAGGAATAGCATGCAAGGCAGTGAAGGGTTAGAAAGAAGCTGCGAGAAATTAGGGATGTCACATACAGTGGGTGGTAGGGGCAAGGCGTTCTAATTGGAGAAACAGACATGCAGATTTTGACAAAATTAAAGAGGGAATGGGGAACCCAGTGTGTACCTCCATCCATCACCAGCAAACACCAAGGACTCAGGGCATAGGGCCCGCGTTGGGCATGGGAGACAAGGACACATGTGTCATAGTGACGTCAGGGGCTGGCCTTGTTCTGTCCCCCTCCTCAGTGCTCTCAAACTTGAGTAAAGTGGCCACCCAGACCTCTGCCCTGATCAGCAGCAGCATCCCTGTCGCGGTACAGAGTCTGGTCCGACCTTGAGCCCTGGCCCCTCCCCGGGCTCAGTGATGCTGGGCCGCAGAGAGGGGTAGGCTGCACCGAGGCAGCTGGAGGACAGGCCACCCACTCGGCCCTCGACAGCAGCCCTGACCCCGGACAACCACACAAGGGCCCTGCTGTTCATTTCCTCTTCCAGCATCAGGGAAGAGGGCACCCCGCACAGTTGATCTATTTTTCATGTTACCCCACCTTTGACCAAACCTTCTGCTCTCCAATTTCTCTGCATTTGGAGCTTTCTCCAGAATTCAGGGGTGTCAGAAGAGGAACGGACCTTGAAGATCTGTGTGCACACGAGGAGAGTGAACTCGAGATTCAGTGTTTGGGGCTGGCCCCGAAGTCACAGAGCCAGTTAGGACCACACCAGGCTGAGAAACTGGGTCCCCCACCTGCCTAAGCAGGGTTTGTCACAGGTTTTCCTTCACCATCTCCACAAATACTATGATTCTTAATAAAATCCTTCAGAGAGGGGGCAACCCAGCTGTTTGCGTGTTTGCCTTAGTTGACTCCAGCCACTGTCTGTCTCAGGCAGTAGCATTAAGGAGGCAGCATTGAACTGACCTGGCTTCCCTGGTGACTCAGGAGTAGAGTCTGCCTGCAATGCAGGAGATGCAGGAGATCTGGGTTTGATCCCCGGGTTGAGAAGATCCCCTGGAGGATGGCATGCAACCTACTCCAATACTCTTGCCTGGGAAGTCCCATGGACAGAGGAGCTTGAACAGTTACAGTCCATGGGGTTGCATAGACTCAGAAATGACTGAGCAACTAAGACTTACTTACTGAACTGACTATTTCTCTCCTCCCTCCGGGGGAAAACAAGTGTCCCTTCAGGGCCAGGTTTTCCCAAAGCTCTAGGAGGGAAGGGGGAATGGCTTGGGTGATGTCAGGGTTGGATGTCCAGCCACGTCACCAGTTAGGTCCTCTGCTCGTCTCCACACACTTGAGGACTGAATCCCGAAATCAAAGAGAAACAAACACACTCCCAGTGGTTATCGCACAAAACAGAAGAAAACGCTACTTAAAGGCAATCAGTTGGAATTACTTTCAATACATAAATATTTTGGGGAATGATGAGTTCATTTTAATTGCTTCCCTCACATTCATAACAATATTATTTGCCAGCAGTGGCTTCTCCGAGGTGGCTGCATCAATCCACTCCTTGTACCTGCAACCTTCCCTTGGAGAATCTGCCCTCATCTATCGGATGGACACATGGAGGAGGTGGGGTCCGGAGGTGAGCAGAGACTCACAGCAACCTCACAAAACCAGGATTCTCTGTCACTTTCACCCCAGTCCACCATAAGGTCTCATTACATCTGAAACGCTCTCTGGCCAAAACTCAGCTCAGAATCTAAAGCCCCCTCAGCACCAAACGGTTCTGTCCTAAGTGTTTACCATCTAAACAAACTAGTAGAAAGCAGGCATTTTCCCTTTCTTGTAATTAGTGATGATTCAGAAACATACACACACTCCCCCTTAAGATGTGGCTGCTTTTGCCAAGAACTACATTCGAGTGCATATTCTTCTGTGAAACCACTTTGTAGAGTTTATTAACTCAAGAAGCCAAGCACAGATCCTGTTCTTATGAGCACAGAGAGCAGATCAGACCCAAGTGTCATCAATAAACCACAGCACTTGGAGAACAAATTCATTACTATCAATTACTCAGGAATTAATAAAAACTCTCCTGCAAAGTATGGGAATGACTAACTTGATGCAGTGGGGAGGGGAGGGACATTCCAATGATTATCCGGAAGTCGCGGAGGCCAAGATTACAGAGGTGAATATTCTGGTCTTAAATGTATGTTTTAGATTGAAAGTTCACAGACAAAGAAACTATTTGGTCTATTTACTTTTCTTCTTTTCTTTCTTTCCTGCCTCCCTCCCTCCCCGTCACTTCCCCCTTCCCTCCTTCCTTCTATCCTTCACTCCCTCCCTTCCTGTTTCTAGCCCTCCTTCTTTCCTCAAGGCATTATTTCCATAAGACTGAAACACCCAAAAGGTGCCCTGCCCCTCACTGACAGGTTTCCTAGGTCCCAGAGGCCTAGTCATCATTATCCATGGTAAGCATCCACAGGCTCACAAGGTCCCAGCAGACTCTGGCTTTGCTTCCTCACCTCTCACATCCCTTTGGCAGGAGTTCCTAGGCTAACACAGGACAGGAAGGAGGACATAGGGACATAACTCTTACTGAAGGGCAACATGTCCTCAGAATTGCAGTGACACTGAGTGACGCTCTGAGCCAGCCGCGACTTATACTCCCCAGGCAGAGGGGCAGGGCGCCCAGGAACTCTGGGTCCAGGGGTCCCCAGGCCTGAGAACAGAGAGGAGGAGCTACGCTTTCAGATCTAGCCATGCAGGGGGTTTGTAGCAGCTCCTTTCAAAAAGTAAGACAAATGCTGCTTATGGTTTTGCTCCCTTTGCTGCATCAAACTGTCCTCAGGGCTCTGTTCCAAGCACATAATTGGGGAAGAATAAAAAAGTGACAGCCTTGTGCTCTGATTTGCCCAAAATGCTCTCTGTGCTCTGCGAATCTGGCATGGTGGGTGGAGAGGTTCCCACCTGCAACCAAGATGTGGGGGCCTCTGGGGGGTCCCTCCTGCAAGTCTGCAAGACAAGCATCCTTTGCTCTTGACTTCAGGAACTCCATAGCTGCTAACTGCAGTCTCCTCATTGTTAACTGGCTTCCTCAGCTTGTACACACACACACAAACACACACCCCTCTATCATCCAGCAGGTCCCTCATGCTCACCTGATGGAACAAAATCACTTGAACCCAGAAACTTTTCTTCCTCTTTCCTATCTTTGGATTTTGGAGGCTAGGTTATTATATTAATATTTTATCCTCAAATCTTGGCAATCTTTAGCCTAGACATGTGTTCAGTGTCAACTAGGTCCCAGGCATTGTGCGAGAAAGATGGATCACACACACTCTACGCTTTTGAAAATCTCATGGAGGTAAAAAATGTCCACATAAACAAATCATTAAGACGTAATACAACAAGCACATTGTTATTGGTGCACCTAGACTGCCCTGCAAGCATCGCAGAGAAAACGATTAAAACCCCCTGATGAGCTCGCAAAGGCTTCTCAGAGGCAGTGATTTTTAGAAGAGTTTTAAAGGACAAGGAGAGATTTGCCAAGTGGGAAAAGAAGGGGAGAAGACTGGAAGGTGGGGTAACTCCGGAGGCAAAGTCACATCATATCACGTCCAAGTGGGTGGAAGTGCAAGGTGTCTGGGGAGGGACCTGATGGCCCAGGAGGATGGGAATTTATCAAACTCAGGGCATGAGGATCTCAAACCATGCTGTCGTGTTCCAAGTTTTACCGTAGGAGAAACTGGATGCCACTGAAGGTTTTTAAGCCAGGTGGGAGCACACATTTTTCTTAGAAATGTAACTCTAAGGCAACAAACCATAATCAGAAACTGGGAAAATAATGAATCTGTTTATGACAGAGATTAAAGGGAGTGCCTCAGTTAAAGACTAAATAATTACAATGAAAAGGTTGCTATGGGGGATCAGGGGAAGGGTCACAGGAGGAAGCAGGGGGCCTAAGAACACAGTCAGATGAAAGCCTGTCATTCCTGGTCCCTCCGTGCAGGTGCCAATTTCGATTGACCTGTTGGCCGCAGGGGCTTCCCTGGTGGCTCAGTGGTAAAGACCCCGCCTGCAATGCAGGACACATGACTTCAATCCCTGGGTCAAGAAAATCCCCTGGAGGAAGGCATGGCCACCTACTCTAGTATTCTTGCCTGGAGATTCCCATGGACAGAGGAGCCTGGAGGGTTACAGTCCAGAGGTCGCAAAGAGTCGAACAGACTGAAGCGACTGGCCACAGGATCAGATTTGCACCTGAAAAGCACCTTTCTCTGAGGCCAGACCTGGCTCAGGCAGCACCTTGCAGGCTTCCATCCTCTTTGGACCCAGCCAGCTCCCCCACATCCCACAGCTTCCCTTTTCTGACCTGCTTCCGTCTTCCTCGTGGACCAGAGTCCCTACCTTCTCTCCCCAGCCATGGTGTATTAATTGCTAAGATTCTGGGCCACGGGAGGCTGCTGCCAACAAAAAGATTAGCCCTTTTTTTACAGGAGGAGGCAATTAAAAAAGGAGAGATTTTTGTTTTTGAGGCAGATGAAAGAAAGCCCAAGGAGATGTGTGTTTGACCCTCCAACATGCTTCTCCAAGCCGCCCTCAGCAGTACTTAAAGGCGCTTCCAAGGGAAGCTTTATGAATGCAGAATGAAGTCGGGGCCGTGTCTGCGCCAGAAGAAAGGGAGAAGGGATCCTTTATAGGCAGCCTCTCCTTGATGGCTGCGTGGCTCCCCCTGCCCCAGCGCTGCTGTTCCACTTCAGAGGCCCGCCCGACCTTCTCAAGGTCACTCCACTCAGCAGGCCCCCTTGTGCCTCTCCCGGGGACCGCCAAGGAGCTGAAAGGGCTGGGGTTTGTTTTCTGCTTCTCCGGAGTCACAGCAGAGTCCTTGCCCCAGGGCAGAGACGCTGAAGTTCCTAGCTGGGCAGGCCCGGCAGCTGCTGGGGCAACTGTGCCCTGATGGTAGGAGCTCCCCCGTAACTGTGTCTGTCCAACTCTGCTTGCTTCACCGCCCTGGGGGCCATGAACATGGGGCCCTAGGGGGTCTTGGACCAGGGCTTGAATGAGGGCTCCCAAGGCAGATGGGGAAGCGCCCATCTCAGCATCCATCCCTATTGCCGTCTTCATCCTCCTGCTTCTAAGAGGCATTTGATGCTAATACTTCCCGGCCTTTCCACCTTCTGCCCTGCACTTATCATCTGATGGTCACCTTCCTTACACTTGCTCACCACCTCCATCGGTGATTCTGGTCCTGGATCACATGTCTCTGGTTGGAAGGGATGGTGCACCTCCTCTGCCTGTCCTCATCTCTGCATGTTTCAGAACCCGCTGGGCACCAAGCTTTGCACAGAGTTGGCACCTGCTCACTGCATCCAAAGTCATTTCTTTTTTCCCAACACAATTTCTGATGCAGTGATGGATGAATCTGCTTTGTGGAGAGAATGAACTCGCTGAAGTAATTTTGATATAAATGAATTGCTTCCAAAGCAATGTTACCAGGAAAGAGACTCACAAACTTAGAGAACAAACTTATGGTTTCCAGGGGGAAGAATGGGGGGAGGGGATAGTTAGGGAGTGTGGGATGGTCATGTATACACTGCTATATTTAAAACGGATGACCAGAGGGGAACTAAGATGGTGGAGGAGTAGGGCGGGGAGACCACTTTCTACCCCACAAATTCATCGAAAGATCATTTGAATGCTGAGCAAACTCCACAAAACAAAAACTTCTGATCACTAGCAGAGGACATCAGACACCCAGAAAAGCAGCCCATTGTCTTCGAAAGGAGTCCTCTCTTACTCCTTAAATTTCATTTTTATAACCCACTATAACCTGGCAAAAAAAGAAAAAAAAAAAAAGGACCCTATTTTTAAAGCGAACTTCATACATATTTCTTAAATTTTTTGTGTTTTTGTAGTTTTTTAATATTGTATTTTTAAGAGTCTAACCTCTACCCTAGATTTTTAATCTTTGTTTTTCTGTATTTGATATCAATTTTGGACATTTAAGAATCCAACCTTCAGTACCCATTTTTACTCAGGAGTGTGATTACTGGTTTGATCACTTTCTCCCCCTTTTGACTCTCCTTTTTCTCCCCAAGATCACCTCTATTTCCTCCCGCTCCCTTCTCTTCTCAATCCAATTCTGTGACTCTCTGTGGGTATTCTGGGCTGCGGAGAACATTTAGGGAACAGAGTACAACCTAGATCTGTCTCTCCTCTCGTCAATCCCCCTTTTCTCCTCCTGGTCACCTCTATCTCCTTCCTCCCTCTCCTCTTCTTCATGTAACTCTGTGAACCTCTCTGGGTGTCCCTCACTGTGGAGAACGCTTTGACCATTAACCTAGAAGTTTTATTATCAGTGCTGTATGGAGGGAGAAGTCTTGAGGCTACTGAAAGAATAAGACTGAAATCCAGAGGTAAGAGGCTTAAGCCTAAAACCTGAGAACACCAGAGAACTCCTGACTACAGGGAACATTAATTAATAAGAGATCATCCAAAAGCCTCCATACCTACACTGAAACCAATCGCCACCCAAGAGCCAATAAGTTCCAGAGCAAGATATACCACGCAAATTCTCCAGCAACGCAGGAACATGGCCCAGAGTGTCAATATACAGGCTGCCCAAAGTCACACCAAACCCATAGACCCATCTCAAAACTCACTACTGGATACTACATTGCACTCCAGAGAGAAGAAATCCATCTCCACCCACCAGAACACCGACACTAGCTTCTTTAACCAGCAAACCTCGACAAGCCAAACATCCAGCCACACTCACTGGGTGAAACCTCCACAATAAAAAGGAACCACAGACTACCAGAATACAAAAAGGCCACCCCAAACCCAGCAATCTAAATATGATGAAAAGGCAGAGAAATACCCAGCAGGTAAAGGAACATGAAAAATGCCCACCAAGCCAAACAAAAGAGGAAGAGATAGGTAATCTACCTGAAAAAGAATTTAGAATAATGATAACAAAAATGATCAAAAATCTTGAAAACAAAGTTGAGTTACAGATAAATAACCTGGAGACAAGGATTGAGAAGATGCAAGAAATGTTTAACAAGGACCTAGAAGAAATAAAAAGAGTCAATTAAAAATGAATAATGCAATATATGAGATCAAAAACACTCTGGAGGGAACCAACAGTAGAATAATGGAGGCAGAAGATAGGATAAGTGAGGTAGAAGATGAAATGGTGGAAATAAATGAAGCAGAGAGTAAAAAAGAAAAAAGAATTAAAAGAAATGAGGACAACCTCAGGGACCTCTGGGACAATGTGAAACACCCCAACATTCAAATCACAGGAGTCCCAAAAGAAGAAGACAAAAAGAAAGGCCATGAGAAGATACTCGAGGAGATAATAGCTGAAAACTTCCCCCAAATGGGGAAGGAAATAGCCACCCAAGTACAAGAAACCCAGAGAGTCCCAAACAGGATAAACCCAAGGTGAGACACCCAAAGACAAATATTAGTCTAATTAACAAAGATTAAACACAAAGAACAAATATTAAAAGCAGCAAGGGAGAAACAACAGATAACACACAAGGGGATTCCCATAAGGATAACAGCTGATCTTTCAATAGAAACCCTTCAGGCCAGAAGGGAATGGCAGGACATACTTAAAGTAATGAAAGAGAACAACCTACAACCCAGATTACTGTACCCAGCAAGGATCTCATTCAGATATGAAGGAGAATTTAAAAGCTTTACAGACAAGCAAAAGCTGAGAGAATTCAGCACCACCAAACCAGCTCTTCAACAAATGCTAAAGGATCTTCTCTAGACAGGAAACACAGAAAGGTGGTATAAACGTGAACCCCAAACAACAAAATAAATGGCAATGGGGCCATTCTTATCAATTACTTTAAATGTAAGTGGGTTGAATGCCCCAACCAAAAGACAAAGACTGGCTGAATGGAAACAAAAGCAAGACCCCTATATATGCTGTCTACAAGAGACCCACCTCAAAGCAAGGGACACATACAGACTGAAAGTGAAGGGCTGGAAAAAAATATTTCATGCAAACGGAGACCAAGGAAAGCAGGAGTCACAATATTTATATCAGATAAAATAGACTTCAAAATAAAGGCTGTGAAAAGAGATAAAGAAGGACACTACATAATGAGCAAAAGATCAATCCAAGAAGAAGATATAACAATTATAAATATATATGCACCCAACATAGGAGCACCGCAATATGTAAGGCAAATGCTAACAAGAATGGAGGGGGAAATTAACAATAACACAATAATAGTGGGAGACTTCAATACCCCACTCACACCTATGGACAGAACAACTAAACATAAAATTAACAAGGAAACACAAACTTTAAATGACACAATGGTCCAGCTAGACCTAATTGATATCTATAGGACATTTCACCCCAAAACAATCAATTTCACCTTTTTCTCAAGTGCACACAGACCCTTCTCCAGAATAGGTCACATCCTAGGCCATAAATCTAGCCTTGGGAAATTTAAAAAAAATGAAATCATTCCAGTCATCTTTTCTGACCACAATGCAGTAAGATTAGATCTCAATTACAGGAAAAAAAACTTAAAAATTCCAACATATGGAGACTAAATGACATGCTTCTGAATAACCAACAAATCATAGAAGATATCAAAAAAGAAATCAAAATATGCATAGAAACGAGTGAAAATGAAAACACAACAACCCAAAACCTATGGGACACTGTGAAAGCAGTGCTAAGGGGAAGGTTCATAGCACTACAGGCTTACCTCAAGAAACAAGAAAAAAGTCAAATAAATAACCTAACTCTACACCTAAAGCAACTAGAGAAGGAAGAAATGAAGAACCCCAGGCTTAGTAGAAGGAAAGAAATCTTAAAAATTAGGGCAGAAATAAATGCAAAAGGAACTAAAGAGACCATAGGAAAAATCAACAAAGCTAAAAGTTGGTTTTTTGAAAAGTTAAATAAAATTGACAAACTGTTAGCCAGACTCATCAAGAAACAAAGGGAGAAGAGCCAAATCAACAAAATTAGAAATGAAAATGGAGAGATTACAACAGAAAACTCTGAAATACAAAGGATCATAAGAGACTACTACCAGCAGCTCTATGCCAATAAAATGGACAACTTGGAAGAAATGGACAAATTCTTAGAAAAGTATAACTTTCCAAAACTGAACCAGGAAGAAATCGAAGATCTTAACAGACCCATCACAAGCATGGAAATCGAAACTGTAATCAGAAATCTTCCAGCAAACAAAAGTCCAGGAGCAGATGGCTCCACAGCTGAATTCCACCAAAAATTTAGAGAAGAGCTAACACCTACCTTACTCAACCTCTTCCAGAAAATTGCAGAAGAAGGCAAACTTCCAAACTCATTCTATGAGGCCACAGTCACCCTAATACCAAAACCAGACAAGGATGCCACAAAAAAAGAAAACTACAGGCCAATATCACTGATGAACATAGATGCAAAAATCCTTAACAAAATTCTAGCAAACAGAATCCAACAACATATTAAAAAGATCATACACCATGACCAAGTGGGCTTTATCCCAGGAATGCAAGGATTCTTTAATATCCACAAATCAATCAATGTAATACACCACATTAACAAATTGAAAGATGAAAATCATATGATTATCTCAATAGATGCAGAAAAAGCCTTTGATAAAATTCAACATCCATTTATGATAAAAACTCTCCAGAAAGCAGACATAGAAGGAACATACCTCAACATAATAGAAGCTATATATGACAAACCCACAGCAAACATTATCCCCAATGGTGAAAAATTGAAAGCATTTCCCTTAAAGTCAGGAACAAGACAAGGGTGTCCACTCTCACCACTACTATTCAACATAGTTTTGGAAGTGTTGGCCACAGCAATCAGGGCAGAAAAATAAAAGGAATCCAGATAGGAAAAGAAGAAGTGGAACTCTCACTGTTTGCAGATGACATGATCCTCTACATAGAAAACCCTAAAGACTCTACCAGAAAATTACTACAGCTAATCAATGAATACAGTTTTTGCAGGATATAAAATTAACACACAGAAATCCCTTGCATTCCTATACACTAACAAGGAGAAAACAGAAAGAGAAATTAAGGAAACAATATCATTCACCATT